ATTTTATATATTATAAAATTAATAAAAAGAAAACATTTATCAATAACAAAGACAACCTTAGTTGGAGCTCTAGATCTGGTAGATCGCTGCTGCAGTATTGCTTTAAATGGCATTATTTCACACACTCACACACTCCTACAAACCACATGTGATTGTACACCTTGAACATATTCGGATTGTCGTGTTAAATATATGTTAGATGCGCAAAATGTGACTAACCCGACATATTCACTACCCCCAGGAGGCCTTCAGGCTCATCTACTGCACTTACATGAAGGGTGGGCTGCTCAGTCTGTGGAGGGGCAACTCTGCCACCATGGTGAGGGTCATGCCCTACGCTGCCATCCAGTTCTGCTCACATGAACAGTACAAAAAGCATCTGGGAAGCTACTTCGGCTACCAGGGAAAGTGAGTAGAATATTTTCAGTAATAAAGTTTGTTTATTTTGAAATAAATAAAACATATTATGAATACATTTTTAGCCATGCTAGCCACATAGCTCCAGGGATGGCAATGTCGGTCGGTCAGTTGGTCCAGACTGAAATAACAAAAATACAATTGGATTGTTATTGTTGGATAGATTGTTGTCAAATTCGGTACAGACATTCATGGTCCCTAGTATTTTATCCAGTAATTCGTTTTTATGACTAAATACCTGCAAAACTAATCTCATTCCCATCACGCTCAGCTGTACTATGTGTTAGATGGTTAGATGGTAACATGGTAAATGATATACCTTCTGGACATAAGTACATATGTTAGCATGCTCAATGTACAGCCCCAGAGAGACTCTAGCATGGCTGTAGAATTTTTTTTTTTGGTTTATTTTTTTTATGTATTATTATTTACTACAGATTGTTGTGCTGTTTGTTTCAGAGCTCTGCCTCCCTTCCCTCGCTTCCTGGCTGGCTCTCTGGCCGGCACCACCGCTGCTATGCTTACCTACCCTTTGGACATGGTGCGAGCCAGGATGGCAGTCACAGCCAGAGAGATGTAAGCACCTACTACTGTGTACTAAACGGTCCCTCTCTCTGTACAGATTCACCAGTTGCATGTATTAGTCCTGTTGTTGTCTTGCCATTACAATAACATTGACCATTGCAGTCCACAGCAGTCATACAATGCCACACATGATGGTAAATGGTTTGGTACAGTTTTGCTTTTTTCTTCGGACAGGTACAGCAACATCATGCACGTCTTTGTGCGCATCTCCCAAGAGGAAGGCGTGAAGACTCTTTACAGAGGCTTTACTCCCACTATCCTGGGTGTAATCCCATATGCAGGGATCACATTTTTCACATACGAGACCCTCAAGAAGCTACACTCAGGTACTGATCATGAGTGCTTTTTCTTTTCTTTTAAAGTCAGCAGTCAGTTCAGTAAATTGACATTTTAGATGCGTAGCTGAATAAAAAACTGTGTCATTCAGATGTTGAACTCTTTGTTTCTTTCTCTCGCTCTAGAAAAAACAAAGCGGTCCCAACCATACCCCTACGAGCGCTTGGCTTTTGGTGCCTGCGCAGGCCTGATTGGTCAATCCGCCTCGTACCCTCTGGACGTGGTACGTCGGCGCATGCAGACGGCCGGCGTTACTGGTTCGTCATACAGCACAATTCTGGGGACCATGCGTGAGATCATAACACAGGAGGGAGTTATACGCGGACTATACAAAGGCCTGAGCATGAACTGGCTTAAAGGACCCGTCGCTGTGGGGATTAGCTTAACCACATTTGACGTCACGCACAGCCTTCTGCTTAAATTGCATCAGATGAGCTACTTCACCCACTGAATCAGTTGGGAGTGGCAGAGGGGCAACAAGAAGCACAGATGAGACTGACGAGAGGGAGGTGGTCCACTCTGTAGTATGGCAATAATAAGTCTCTGCACTCGGTCATTGCAGGATTGTCCTGCACACTCCTGTTCCCTGCAGACAGGATGTCAGAGGAGTGGATGAGTGGACAGGAGATCTGTTGTGCACACAGTGTCTCATAATTTGTTAAACGCACAAGATTCACTGTCGGAGAGAGTGAGGAGACAAAAAGAGGTGTCTTTAAATTGTCGTTCACACAATCACAACTATGTTTTGAAATCGCGGCACCATCAGGGTGGCTAAAGTGATTAGAGGTGGATGGATATGGAAGTTTTTGTTTGTGTTGTGTTAATAAGAAAATGCTTGCACTTTATTAAACCTACAATGTTCTTTCAACTTAATCCTGTATTAACAGAAAGTACTACTTTTTAATGAATTGTATTTGGAGGGAAATTTTATTTTAATCACATTGCTTTTTTTCTTTTTGATTGTTTCAAAATAGTGTGATTGTGCAGTTTTATGATGATAGGTTGATAATGCAGTTTTGTTTTTTGTTTTTAATTTTATGATGGTGCCAATGTGGGTTGAATTAAGATTGATGGAGCGAATGATTGTACAGTAGGAGGGTGATCATGTCAGCAGGACTGCACAGTTTCACTGTCCTTTCAGCACTAAGGAGGTATGATTTAGTAATAAAATGTCTAATAAATGGTGGATAATCACATATGAGAAATAATTCTATATATATATATAAATATATATATATATATAGCAGATTTGCTTTATTTGCATATGATTTAAGATTTCACTTTACTGCTCACATTGTTGTGCAGATTATATCATTGCATTAATTTGATTGTAAGGTGTTGTTTACCTGAAAAATTTAAATATGCCAAAGCACTAAACTCTGTCATATGTTTCATGTGAATAAGGGTAATTAAACTTTGGCTGCTAATGTGCATTTCAAAGATACAGTGTTTCCAAAAATGTAAGTTCAAGTTAAACTGACCATGTAATAAAGCGTCAAGCCACAACCCTGAGCAATGAGTCCTTTTGTCCACTTGAGGGGGCCATGTGATAAGCAAAGCTAATCGCCATAAGCGACATTAAAGACCTGTCTTTAATTTGACATTTGAAATGGTATGGTTATAATAGGTTTTTACCTACAGCACAAATATCTATTTTTAATGCTAAAATCACTGCCATTTTTCATTTTCAGAAATAAATTCTTATTCTCTTAATTATATTTCCACTATATCAATGATGTGGTGTTTCTGTGTTTGCACTCATTTCCCTCAAAGACTGTGAAACTTAAGTTGGACTTAAAATATATATAAATGATGAACTGCAATATCTTATATTTTATATAAATATATAAAGTCATGTAAAGTTACAGTATGTAATTTAATTAATCATAAGTGACCCAGTGTGTGTGTGTGTGTGACCACCTGCTTCTTTCACTTTCAGTAGATGGCAGCATTGAGTGAATGTTCATCCTGGAAGCATTATGGAGGTTAGTTAGGCTCTGATCACCACATGGCCTGAACTTGACCTGCCCTGTGCTCACTGAGACAACTTTTATTATGTTATTTTACTCTTCTATGTTTTATTCAATGCAAACATTCTGTGTATAATTTTTATAACTATCTTAATGGTGCAAATACTGTTTTTATGTTGCCCGTGGTACAAAGCAAAATTTTGTAAAACAGAATTATTGAATTCATACTTCAAAACACTACAAAGGATAATTATACATACACTAAAACATTGTATCAATAATTTATGTATTTTTTCCATTTGTTTTTTATACACAGATGTTCTGATGTTAAAATTATGACGATAGTGCTATTCAAGGAGAATTGTGATAACTGATATCTTTTAAGAAACTAGAACTCACGACCTATCTTTAAATATTTTTAATTTTGTATAATTTATATTAACTCTATTACAAAGCAATTAATTAAAAACTAGGTAGACAGTCAACAATGCCCCTTCCCACACACACACAGAAATTAGCAACAATTACAGATAAGAAAAACAAAGATGAATTTCAGCAACACATTTATTGAGAATTTTAAGTACACACCAATAAACTGGATTTTTTACACTTTCATCAAATGGATTAAATAAGTAGAAGGTAGCCACACACATCACCCCAAAGCCTAGTATTAGCCTATTAGTTTATTTTTGATGACGTGTCACTTAATACTGTACAATACTATTTTAAAACCTTTAACTATTTTGTCATTCATTTGTGAATTACATTACTGATTACTCTTTCAAATATCTTAAAATAAATAAGATATTTAAGTAATTGTATGCTGCATTCAAAAGTAGTTTTTTCCGTGCTCGTCCTGTTTTGCTGCACTGGTTACTGCACATGAGCTGTGACTAAATCTGAAAAGAAGGTGAGTGCGTGCCCGGTCCGTCGCATTGGTGATAGCATCATTCACCACCTGAAATCGCTTCCTTTTCTTTACCAGCTGCTGAGTGTCGTCTCCTGAACTTCGCATCCGAACACCAGCATGGAGGGATCCTGCCCTCCTTCCATCTGTCCACCCTCCATCCTTCTATCTCTCATCCTTTCCTGCCTATATGACCTTGACTGTGAATTATGGGATATCCTGCCACCCCACAGTGTGCAGCCACCCAGCCTGGTATTGCAACAATCGAAACAATACCACTGGGTGGATAACATGGTTGGAGGGTGGGTGCCTGAGAGAAGCAGGAGGAGGAGGGGTGGAAAGATGCTTCTTGAAGGCGCCGTTGCCATAGGTAACCTGGATCTGTGCCAGGAGAGGGGAGTGAACCATTTGCATGTATTCAAATCTCGCATGAATAATTCACTTTGAAGCCCCTTGCTGGAGCACTGGCAGACAATAGCTGTTCACACACACACAAATGCACAATATACGGGCAAAAATACACACAAATACAGCCATCTCGCACACACAAACCCAGCCTGATCCTGTGTGAGAAAGGTGAGGAGGTTATACTGGGAGGCACACAGGAATAAAGCCTTTCTCAGAACTAAATCAGATTCGGAAGCGGTGACGGTAGCTGCGGCTGTAAAATAATTTTGCATGTATTTCAGAGCCGTTGTGTTCTATTTAGACAAGGTCCTCTTTACCCAAATCACAAAAGATGCATAACTAGTTTGACTTTGAGCTTATACTGTGGATGTCACACACCACATGAGGCTAAGGAGGGAATGTACAGTAAACATATGCATATACACACATGTTCATACCCCTGTGGTGCCCTGCAAAAGCCACTGGCTGGGATCCAGTTTCCGTCACTTTGAAGGTCAGCTCAGTGTTAGCTTCTCAAGCACCTGGCTCCACGATTTATTTCATAAATTCACCAGCATTAAGACGTCTTGAGAGACATTTTATCTAACATAAATGGGCCTGTAAACCATTTCTCCCCCATAAAGCTTGCCTTAAAAAGCCAAGAAAACGAGTGAAAAAAATACCTAATCACGCTGCCGTGGCCATAAAACTCAGTCAAGAACAGCTATAATCCCTCCATGCATGCATGCTGATATTTACAAGTGCTATAGGAACGTCATACTCTCCCACCGCACAACCTCGGAGCTCCCTTTCCCCATAGCTCAGTCTTGTTAATTTTATAAGATCCAGCATATTGCCACTTATCGGCTGGCAGCGTTGTAAAAGCTCTGGGGTCAGTGCATTACTGAGCTGCTGGGCTCCACTCTTCCATTAGAGGGAGTGTTCAGGCTGTGTTGGCCTTCACTCAATCAAATACAGGCTCCAAACGGCTGCTCCAAGTGCAGATGAGGGGCACAAACACACACACTTTCACACATACACGCATACAAATGGAGACTCCTTCAATCCCTGGTTGGGAAACTATAGTACGCATAAATCTGAGGTCATAAATCCAGCCACCTACACGCACACTCACTCACACACAGTATGTGCTTGTCCGCTGTTTGGAGCCCGGAGGGGGGGTAACATATTCATTTGCATGGAGTGTTTGCATTTAAAAAGAGTAAATGTATAGGTGTGTGTGCACGTACTGCAGCTGACATTTTCACCACTTGGCATTTGAACAGATTCAACACTAAATGAGTTGTAGCTTCCCCTCGATCTCTCGATCAGGTGAAACAGATGAGAGGTGAGCGGTGGAGGCCAGAAGCAAGCAGAAATAAGAATCAGGGACTGAGGCTGAATTAATGCCAAAATAGAAATTTAAATAGAATTTATGTTCATGTGGAACATGCGGTACAAAATTATTTTTCACAATCAGCCTGGAAATGAGGTCAGTTTTATGCCACTGACTGTCAAGGTAGTGTCAAGGTCATAGGAAGTTAAAATGAGTGTTAATGGTGCAGTCATTCCTCTCTCATTACTACGATGCTATAATTATGATGAGATATTAAGTGTATGCACCTGACTTCATTTTCATCCTTTTTCACTCTTTCTGTTGTCTGACTGCTGCTGAGGTGCAGCGTTTCAATCCAAAACCTCTCCCTGAAAATTTCAATTTCAGTGTGAGGTGTTCATTTATGTTACTCCATATTTAAAACGTAAACATGTTTTGTCTAAAAGCCTCTTGCAAATGAAAGCTGTAAGATAATAGTGTTATTAATGCATTTTCACACCTGCAATCATATTTTTTGAGTCATTTTGATATTATTAATTTCCATTGTAACTTCATATATTTGCAGTCCGTGCACAGAAGGAGAAAGAAAGGGGCACACTACCCAGGCCTCAGCAAGTGTGTGTGCCCATTTATAAACATGTATGTATTTCTTCTGCAAGAGCAAAGGCTGGGGGTAGGTGGTGGGTGGACGGACGAAGGAGAAAGCTCTGACAGACTTTGCATGAGAATGGCTGGGTCCTGTGAACCTTCTGCTCCAGATGTGTCCACATTCAATGCATCGCTGCGTAGCATGACAAAACTAGGCTTCCAAGTTCTTGGACTTTTTTAAAGCAGCCTGGCCCTCCCCCCCAGACCTCTCATTCTGTCTACCCCACCCATCCATGTCCTGACTCCACCATAACTCCCTTTTGGTAAACCCCCTAACCCTCAACTTGCTCCACTGTGGGCTAAGCCTACAGATTTTATGAGGTGTCTGGGGGGCTACCAAGTTCAGGGGAGCCAGGGAGACGACCTCTGCCTATCACACACACACACACATAGATACATAAAGCTATCAAGCTTTGAGCACTGGTTTTCATTTTAATTATTTTTTTACATTTTTATATCACCAAAATCAAAACAAGCTCACAAACAAACACAATTTGTAAACATGAAGGTTTCATCCACAGTCTTTCTGGACATTTTTTTTCTTCAGTTTTTGCTTGCCTACCTTCTAACACCTCATCAACACGCTTCCAAAGTCAGCCTTTCATTACATGTGAATGTGAAAACACTCATTGGGGTCTGAAATTAGAACGCTTACATAAGAAATACATTTTGTATGTGTGCATGCTGGGATGGCACAACAGTGGGTCGCAGCTGAACTTGAATGCTTTGGATGCTAATACACCAACACGAAGTTAAAAGATTTAGTCATTCATTTCAGATGAAAAAGCACACCTAATTTTCACTCTGTTCTATTGTTTTACATGTCACGTTTTGTCATACATGCTTATTCTGCTCGTTTATTGAGTGCATTTATGCTTATTGTGGAATGAATTCCTTGTGAGTCAGTATCACCATAATGTAAGTGTGAAATTAATAGATACAATTAAAACTGGACTGTTTTATGTGAATTGATGCTTTATATTATGTTGGGTGTAATGGACTTTTGTTAACCGGAGTTGTATATTATAATATGTTCTTGCAGTGTTTGTGTAAATGGTCTAAGTATAAAAGACCCACGAGGGCCGTGAATACACTCCACACTAATGTGCTCTTTCTGCATCCTGATGGACTATTAAGATACTATTCAATGAGCCCAATTTGGAAAATTAAACTGTACTGTATTTTGAAGTACATTAGAGTATCTTAATAAAAAGCACCAGACTGTCTGTTAATATATAAAAAGATGCAATAATATTCA